TCTTTCTGACTATGTCACTCCTCCTGTGGCGGAACACAACAGCATTATTCTGCCGGATGTCACTGCAAACAACTTTGAAATCAAACCTGCTGTCATCCACATGGTCTCATCTGATCAGTTTGGTGGAGGACCAACGGAGGACCCACACAACCATATAACCAAATTCCTCCGAGCGTGCAATACGTTCAAAATCAATGGTGTGCCAACTGATGCAATAAGGCTCCGTTTGTTCCCATTCTCTCTAAGGGACAGAGCTCAAAGCTGGCTGGATTCATTTCCAGACAATCACTTCACAACTTGGGACCAGCTTCACGGCGAATTTCTCAAGCGATTCTTTCCGCCTTCCAAAACAGCAAAAATCAGGCGGATGATACAAAATTTCAAGCAAAATCCAAACGAGCCCCTTTACGAGGCTTATGAGAGATTCAAAGATCTTCAAAGGCAATGCCCACATCACAATATCCAGTCCTGGCACCTAATGACGGCTTTCTATGAAGGCCTAAATGAAAACTCACGGATATTGTTGGATGCTTCGGCGGGTGGATCATTCATGAGCCTTGAACTTGACGAAGCTGAAGAACTCATTGAGCGGATCTCAACAAACGGATCCACCTGGTACTCTGATCGTCCATCTGCTCAACCGAAAATTGGAGGCATGTACGAAGTTGATCAAATGTCGGCCATGGCTGCTAAGGTCGATAACATGATGAGCATGATCCAAAAGATTGCTCAAGTCTCTACTGTGCAAAACACTTTGCCAGCACCGCCTCCTGTTCCTGTTCTCATGTGTGTATCCTGTGGTGGACAACATGATCAATCTTCATGTCCATGGGATGCAATGGAGCAAGTTGATTATGTCAACTACAACCGGCCGTAGCAACAACAAAATCCATTTGGCGGATTTAGTTCTCAAAACAGAAATCATCCTGGTTTCTCTTGGAGCAATCCCAGTGGAGCTGCCAATCCACAAGCTTATCGAAGTTCACCACCTGGCTTTCAAAATCAACAGCAACAACAATTTAGAGGTGGCCAAGGTTTTGCTAACAATCAGCAGTTTAAGCAAAACCAAAGCTTCCCCTATGTTTCCAATCAACAACAAAAGCCGATCCTGCCAACTCCTGAAACACCATCGGCTCCCGGTTTGGAGAACATTGTTGATCAACTTCTAAAGTCTCAACTAGCCCAAGCTGAAACCTTGAAGAAGATTTCTTAAGAGCTTACTCAACTTCGAGCTCACAATAGGATGCTTGAAAATCAAATCTCTAGTCAAGCATCAACATCATCAACAAAGGTGACCGGAAAATTGCCAGCTTGTCCCGAGAATCCAAGAGAGCAAATGAATGCTATCACTACTCGGAGTGGGAAACAACTTCAATCTCCATCTCTTCCGAGTAGTGATCCCGAAGAAGAAAGAGGAGAGGATGTCAAAGAAGAAGCTCAGAGCAAAGTCAAAGGAGATGCTGCTGAAATGCTTCCAGAATCAATCCAGATCAAAGAAGGGAAGAAAAAAGAAGAAGAAGGTTTGGTAAGGAAATATGCTCCACCAATTCCTTTTCCAAACCGACTCAAGAAATCACATATTGAGGAACGAAGAACCAAGTTCTTGAACCGAATCAAGCAATTGGATATCTCTATTCCTTTGCTTGATGCCATCACCGAAATTCCTTCATATGCCAAATTTCTTAAGGAGATCTTAACAAAGAAGAAGGAAAATCCTCTCACGGTGGCCATGAGTCAAGAGTGCAGTGCCATTATCCAAAATAAGATCACACCAAAACTACGTGATCCTGGAAGCTTTTCAATTCCATGCTACATCGGAGGATCTAAAGTAAACAAAGCTCTTTGTGATCTTGGTGCAAGTGTTAGCTTGATTCCATACTCTTTATGTCAAAAGCTACACTTGGGTGATCCAAAACCAACAACCATGGCACTACAATTGGCTGATCGCTCTGTCAAATACCCAATCGGCATTCTTGAAGATGTTCCTGTGAAGATCGATAAATACTATATTCCAGGGGACTTTGTTGTCTTGGATATGGAAGAAGATGCCCGAGTTCCTATCATTCTCGGGAGACCATTTCTAGCAACTGCTGGAGCAATCATAAATGTGAAGAAGGGTACACTCATCCTTGAAATTGGGGATGACAAGATCGAGTTCAATGTGCAAGAGCTGAGTAAGAATGCTGCATGCATTCTTGATTGTTTCAACGTGGATATCATTGATTCATGTATTCTTGGAACTCTTGAGGAATCTCATTTACTCTCAAGAGATCCAATGGAGTACACCATATGCCAATCTGTTGAAGAGAAACAATCAAATGAGATGGTGAATTCATGCTTGGAGATTTTAGATCATCTCTCCGAACCAATGGAGGGACCAGAAAAATTTGAAGTCCTTAATCTTGATGAGGAACCTATGCCCAAAATTGACGAAGTACCTAAAGTAGAGCTCAAACCTCTTCCCCCTACTTTAAGGTATGCTTTTCTTGGGCCTGATTCGACTTTTCCGGTGATCATCAACTCCTCCCTAAATGCCGAACAAGAAGAGAAGCTGCTTAAAGTCCTTAAGGAACACCGGAGGATAATTGGTTACACCATTGATGATATTGTCGGAATCAGTCCTTCATATTGCATGCACCGCATCTATCTTGAAGAGGAACATAAACCAAGCATTGAGCACCAACGACGTCTTAATCCAAACATGAAAGACGTTGTCAAGAAAGAAGTGCTAAAGTTGTTGAGAGCAGGAATCATCTATCCCATTTCAGATAGTAAATGGGTTAGCCCTATTCATGTGGTTCCGAAAAAGGGTGGAATTACCGTTGTTAAAAACGACAACAATGAACTTATTCCTACCCGAATGGTTACTGGCTGGCGCATGTGCACTGATTACCGAAAGTTAAACAAAGCCACTCGGAAGGATCATTTTCCTCTGCCGTTCATTGATCAGCTGTTGGAAAGAATGGCCAAACATTCTTATTTCTGTTTTCTAGATGGCTTCTAGGGATTCTTTCAAATCCCGATTCATCCTCATGATCAAGAAATGACAACATTTACATGTCCGTATGGCACATTTGCATATCGAAGAATGCCATTTGGATTATGTAATGCACCTGTGAGTTTTCAAAGGTGTATGATTGCTATTTTCTCAGAATACATCGAGGAGATCATGGAGGTATTCATGGATGATTTCTCTGTCTATGGGGATTCATTTGAAGATTGTCTAATGAATTTAGACAAAGTGCTGAGCAGATGCGAAGAAGCCAATCTTGTACTAAATTGGGAGAAATGCCATTTCATGGCAACAGAAGGAATTGTACTTGGCCACAAAATCTCTGAAAGTGGTATTGAAGTTGATCCAGCAAAGATTGAAGTCATCGAAAAGTTGCCACCACCGAATTCTGTAAAAGGAATTCGGAGTTTTCT